ACTTTACTGGTTACAATGAGAAGAGCAGGGGTGATGACCAATTTTTACTTCTCTACTGACACCAATCTGTGTATAGACGACGATGAAGAAGATGTATATTTTACAAATTATGTTCTCGTTGGTCGTATTTTTGTAACTGCTACTGCCAAGGTTGAGGTGTCAAACGAGTTTGAACTTTAGTTAGTTGGAAGTCTGTCTTAAAAACAACCTCTCGTACAAAACTTTAAACAAATATTGTTGAAAAGCATGATCCATTTGTGGACTTCATAACTTACTTAAGACCTCCCTTCATTGAACTGAGTACTATCCTCATGAGTGCATACAAAGACTAATTTTAACTTCGTTAATGACTACGTCCACACATTCAACAACACCTTACTAAAAACTTCTCCATTTATCAACCCTAGGGAACCGAAACTTTGCAAGCATAGGTAGGTACGTAATTTAATTCCATCAAAAGTAATTTGCCCACGCTACATTTTAATTTGAGAAAAAAGTGTTAAAAGTAAAAAAATAATCGGCCTCTAGCGAATTAGCACTCTAATTCGTCGATCAATTTACATTGAAATTCGTCTCTTTCCCTTACTGTTATTGTTGTTTTAATCCTTGAGGGCTGGTAAGTCACTTTGTGGGCGCCAAAGGCGTACTCCCTATTATTCATAATTATATCATAAAGAATTTATTTAACATCTTTATGGCAGCTTCATTGACGATCAGATAGTATCGATGAAATGAAATCGGCGATATTGACTTCCCATTTTCTTTCGCGTAGCCGAAGTAAAAAGTTGTTAATATCACTTTCCTGCCCTAAGGCGCATATAGTGATGATATTTCTCGAGGTAGGTGGCCAGACACATTATCATAAATCATCATATCGCACCTTTAATGATAAACAGATATAATGCGAAATTTTAAATTGTTGGGAAAATGAGGTCAAAGTTTTGCGAGTATGACTGGGTTTATATTTTTACTAACTACAAAAGGAATATCACGATTACAATGATTCTAGTTAGTGGTTATTGTAAGTAATGAAATTAGCTATCAATAGGTATATGAATGTTTTCAATACAATCACAATTTTTTTAGAGGACGATACCTCTATCTCACCAAAATGGATGATACCTTTATCTCACTCTGTGCGTGCAAATCGAAATTGCCTGTTAGACTGTTATATTCGTTACACGATTTTTATGCGTTTTATGACGAAAAGTCAAAGTCCTGGTTTTTTACTTATTATGGTTTATTACTAAAGGTGCGATATCATAAAATCACTGTTTTATGACGTAAAAGAAAGATAAAAACAAACTAACACATACGCATTCACAAAAGTCTTAGCTTACAAGATTTTTTATGATTCAAAAATAAACACAACCTTCTCAAAAATACTTGTACTAATTACTTGCTTGTTGTCAAGATTATCTTACAAACTGCCCCCAAAATAGTATCTTTCGAATCAAAGGTAAGCAACAATTTGGCAATAAAGTAGAAACAGATGACAAACGAGCAAAATAAAAGTCCTATTTGAAATAGATACGATTGTAGTGTTCAAAGGGATCGTAACTCTAGGATCGCAGTGGTAGAATCCATTGTCATTATTTCGGCATTATACTCCTACAATGTATGGGATCTAGTTTCTGCAACTGAATATTATTATATTTTTTGTAGATGTGAAAGTTTTCTGAGAAGACAATGTGCGTCAATCTGCGCATTGTATTCTCAGACGAGCAAACGATCGTCATGCTTTTTAACTCTCCAAAATGTTGGCAGAGATGCTGAAAAACAATGTAACACCTAATTTTCAATAGTTACGTTGAGACCCAAGTGATATGGAGAGTCTGTTGCTTTACACCAAGCACGGTTCCATAGTCTGTGCAGTATGGTTAGGATCATTTAAAAAACCGTAAAGTCGCCAATAATACCTAATTATTATCTTTGCCCGCCCGAATCTAACTTCTCGACTTTTACGACGAGATTGTGACGACAACGCATGTCCAACCTTAGGCTACTCATTTAGGTAAGACATTTACCTACAACAGGTCAGGTGAAAAATGTTATATTGTATATAGAGGACCCAACGTGATCACGACTGCTCTGTCAAGAACAAAGCTATTGAAAAGAATGTGGAATAGAAACAGAAATATATAGAAGTATGCAACAATCTAAAAACGTCAATATAACCAATTTAAGTTACAAAATATGTAGGTAGCTCATGTCGGAGGTACGTTCATTAAATTTTACTAGTTTCACATACATATATAACCAATATAACCCTTTGGGAAATATTAGCAGGCACAATGTTTTATATAAGTCTAAATTTAAGCGCGTAGAAGTTGCACAGTGTTCGCCTACGCATTAAAACGTGTAGGCGAAAGTTAAAACATTGTCTGCCCTGTTGGCGCGGTGGCTCCTACACGTTAAGCGGTGGGTTCGATTCCCGCACCTCGGCAATATTGTTTAACATTACGTGTAGATATATTTATTATTATACAGTACTGTACCTCGGCCGCATGACAGAGTTAAATACCTACAGCCGCACGGTATTATATATTTGCCTACTTTCTGTTTCTATATATTATATAACAAAAGGATATTTACAATCACATAGTTTTGTGGCAATCACAAAACAATCACATAGTTTTGTGATTGTAAATATCCTTTTGTTATATAAAAAACATAAGTACCTACTTTGTATATTGAATAGCTTGTAATTGTTCAATAAAAATGCGTGTTGTTTTTTGATTGGTATATTTAATTTAAAAAAAAACATGCTTTTGTTTGAAAAACAAAACATACCTATATTTCTTACTCGTTATAGGTATTAAATATGTATTCGAACTGATTTATAGAAAAAAATCGCGCGGTTACCATTAAAAAAATAACACACCGTCCGCGTCCGTTCGTCACTGCATTACCTACAGCCATGACTGTCTGCGCCCAGCGCACCCCGACATCGAGGCGCGTAGATAGCTCACGTTTCGTCCGTTTGTAAGAAGTTGAAGTAGGTACTGTACTTATGATAATATATTTTTTTTTTTTTTAAGGGGGGAAAATCATCGAATGTCTGCTCCCGCCTGGGTGAGGCGGGAGGGAGTGTCAGACTCTTACTGACTAAAAACCACCCCGTTCCTTCTCCTGCACGTCGAGCCGGAGCCCCGGTTACCCGTTAGGTTCTCCGCGACTCCGAATCGGCATCGGCCCTATTGGGCCCCATCTGTGGTGGTCTGATGGCTCTTTGAGACGCCGTACGCTCGGGTATGATAATATTATTACCGTGACCGCACGGTTTCGATTACGGGTCTGGGTGCCATGTGTTGGTAAACACACCCTCAATATTTATTTTAAAAAAAAAAAGAACTTTGGATACCCGAACCTTTGTGCTGGCACCAGCACATATCTAAAGCTACAGGTTCGAAAATTAACTTTATTACTAAACGATAAAGTTGAAAATTTAAATAGCTGATGCAAATAGCAAAGAAAGGATACCGAGGTATCTAAGTTACCTAGTTGTCACAAAACATTCAATAATTATGGTTCGTGTCTTAGGTATAAATGAATCCGTGTTATGCTCCCTACAAAAATAACTAAGTTCAGTTTAGCTTAGCTATGACTAAAATAATTATCTTACTCCTAAGCGACTCTCGTGGCCAATGCGGGAAAACTGTTGCCTAATTGCTTTGGAAATAATATACTAGACAAGCTCCTCACTCAGAACAAGTTAAGACCTTTACATTTTAGTTTACTGTAATGATCAGAGATGGCGTTATAGGTACATGTTAAAGTTATTTAGTTATGGCCGAGTTTTTTTATGACATTAGCCAGTAAACCAGCAGACGGATCACCTGGGACCTGGGTGCTTACTCTTGAAACCAATCTCAATGTCAATGCAATTTCAATCCAATATAATCTCAATAAATAATTCAATGTCAACACTATACAACGACAATCGTAGCTGTTAAAATAGCATTCAGAATACGAAATAGATAGCCAAACTAAATACCATTTAATTCATTCAATATCCGCGCAATACGGATGCATCGCCGTCGCCGCCTGAACACCAAGGCGTAACAAGGCGTTACCGGCCTTTTGAGAATTGGGAATCTGAGGACTGTGGAGGATTCGGGTATTCGTACTGGTGAGGGAGTGGACTGGTGAGGGGGCGTAATTGGGCCTCTGGTTAACACACCCACACGTTGAAACACAACGCAAGCGTTGTTTCACGTCGGTTTTCTGTCTGAGGCCGTGGTGGTATTACTCCATGTGGTGGATAGTTGTAGCTTAAATTGTAGCTATTAAAAATCAATTTAATGTTATTTAAGTGTTGACTAATTACATGGTTGTTAGGAGTGTTAATAATTGATTTATAAATACCTACCTATTCGTATGTCATTCCAAATAATATCACAATCTAGTTTATACACGAAACGTCTTCCCTGCATAAAATTTGTTTAACAGATAATTTATTAAAAATGTATATATGAAAATAATAATAATAATTTTAGGAAGACAGTAAGAACATTATCTGAATCATGACATAGAAAAAATTGAATTTCCCGCGTTTCACATTTAAAGTTCATTCATTACAGGTAAATAATGCACTGAATGAAATGAAATAGGTATTGAAGTAATTCAATAATTTCGAAGTCAATAATATTTTTGGTTTCTTTTTCACAGAACATATATTTTTTTTTGTTTCTAAATAAACAATAACGTATTCTATACCAGTAAAATTTGTTTTATGAAAACTGATGAGACATACTACGAACAAAATTATGTGAATTGTTTAGTGTTTATTGTGAAGTCACATATGGATTTTCAATTTATTACTGCTAACAAAACACAATAAAAAATATAAAAGCAGGTAGCATACGAAACAAACGAAAATTATTACTGAATTGAAACATTTAAACTACCAAAATGAGTAAAAATATTTTGAACATGCAACACAAGCGTGTCATTCATTCGAGTTGCCCAAAAGTTTCGTCATGTCATTCACTCCGTAACGTGAACGGAACGCGGTTAGTGGAAACATGTCTGCCGTTTGTGTTATTTGACGTAAATATTGACGAAAATCAAGTTTCTGTTTTCATTTGCGTAGTGATTATCGGTGCTATTTCATTATTATAATGTGTGTGGATGTGCAGTGATCCGTTCATATGAGGCTGCTATATAAAACAGGTCCAATGGAGTCACTAAGAAAGTGGTTCTATAAACCGAAGGTACGTCAACACGATATTTTGTGATGATTCCGTTATTCTGTGCTAAATAACTAATAATATTTAATTACAAAGTGTTATCTAGTATTTATAATTGCAAACATATGTTACATTTTTGTGTCGTCCGCGTCGTATTCGTGAATCGCGTTGTAGAAGTTGTCATTCTTTGTTGGCATTTAGTGGGATGATTCAGTCAATGTTTCTGTTTGATTTTCCTACTACCTACCATTGTTCTGATTGTTAAAGTGTGCAGTACAATTTCCTATTACTATTATGGTCATATTAAATCACTAGGGTACGATTGTTGGTTCTTACGTCACGTTACTCGCAAGTTTTGCATTGTCTGGCCAAAGCGACATATGCAAATCAGTTTCAATAGTAAATAATATGTTGGTATGAAAATGTTATGCAGTGAGCGTCTTGGTGGCCGCGATAATGTGATGCTGTAGCAAACATCGAGTTGTTATGTTAAATAGTTGCTTAAAGATTAGCTCGCAGTACTGGTTTGTTTTGCGACGTCTGTTTTGATCTTCACTCGCGAAAACATCGTCACAACTTGGCGTTTTTTTTATGTTAGCCCCCTGTCAAGTTTATGATGTGTGGCCAGTCCTTGTCTAGTCTATTGTTATTAGACCATGAAGTTTTTATCATTTTATGTTATTCTTTGTAATAGTACCAGAATATAAACTTATGAAGGTCAACTTCTGATAATTTAATATTATAAGCCAAAGTATTGGTCAGTTGATAGTGTAATATTTTATGTAAATTTTAATATACATAATTTGATAACAGTATCGTTTCATGATAATCAGTATTGCAATAGGAGAATTACTTAGATATTAGCATGATATTAGTGATGTTATCATGCAAATAAAATGCCTATTCATTGTTTCATTTTAATTAGAGTATTGTTTTTGTTTACTGTTTATGGTAGCTGCTAAGTAAGCAGTAAAACATAGATGTAAACAAAAATATTTTTAGTCTTTAAATCCAAGCAACAACACTATTCAGCATGTAATGGTACAGTTACATTAAAATTTCAACATAGTTAACTAACTAACTAATAATCAGTAAAATCTCATAAAATTAAGTATTATTCTGATGTCTGTGGTAATTATAAGGTAATAAGTTCATTGGTTTACAATGACTTAACATTTTTGGAATTGCCAAACAACTAAATAATGGGCTATTTAGGTAATATTACTAACATTACCATGTTACCCATGACTGTCATAAATAAATAATAATAGCATACCTAGTAATAACTTACATGTACTAACTAGTTTTCGGGCCCTGCTTTATGCGGGTACTTTATATTCAGCTGTAACACAAACAATAATAGACCATTGTTACTGTAAAATATGACTTAATAGGTTTTAGATATCGGTATCAATTTTATTTTACGGTCTTCTATAGATTCTTATACAGATTTGTACTAAAAGTTCCTTGTTTCTCAGTTTAAGATTGTTGTTATCAATAGATAAAGCATGTAAGCAAAAACAACATATTACTTAAAATGTACCGTGTTTATCTAGACTTGTGATAACATATCTCTATTTCAAATAATGATTCCTCATGATTCATAATGTCACCGAGTTAATTTCCGTCTCTTCTATGATAAGTAGGGATTTGTTCTTTGTTTTCTAGTTTAAGGGGTTTAATTTTATATATTTAGACTGATTACAATTTTATCAATATGTCATTATCATTATGTTACGATTCATCGTTACATATTGATTAATAAGCCTTAATTCCAGGGACTGAATAACCGAAAAATTACGATACCTTTAAATTGCGGTATGACGTCATACCGTTAAATAACGGTTACCGCTTAATTTCGGTATCGAAATTTAATTTCGGTACCGCTATTTTTGGGTATGAAATGAAAACCGGTATATTTCGGTACCAGTATCCTAACCTGAATAATAAAGGTATGAGAGAGATATTGACCGCGCTAGATCATCTATCCTATTTCATCGCATTGCATTAGTTTGGCTTGTTCTCTGCACAACTTCTCTTTCTTATTTCTCAACACAATCACATGCGGCTCGCGTTATAATATTTTATGGTGTGCTGAGTTGAATTGAGATAACAATTATTAACAATGTCAAATAACGCACGAAAACTTATAATAACAAAAATAAGTAAGTATATGTACTTATTACTACTTATGTAATCTGATAATAACATACTTCTAGTTGACACGTAACGAGTACTAAGTACTAGTATCTTACCTACTCGTTGTCGACGCGTACGGCACGCGGCGGCGATCTAACGCCAGTAGACACGCTCACACACAGACGCTGTGTGCGTACTATTTTATTACACTTGTTATGTTATTACACTATAGCTCATTACTATAGTTTATTATAACGTAGTGTGTTATAATATTTTTTTTACCTTATAGGTATATATTTTCACGACATTTTTGTCAAAAATTGGTTAAATGCCTAAAGTTTTTTTATTTCTACCTCGTCGGGCGCGGATTTCCAGAATTCTTGTTTTGATTCAAAGGGTATACTCCCGAGATGGTCCTTTTCATTGAGGTCAGGATCTGATAATAGAAGCCTAGGAAAACCGAGGAGAACTTTCGAAAATTGTAGGGGCGTGTAATATGTGTATTGTTATTCAATTAGGATTTTTAAACTCTACCCCAGGAGGGTACCAGCTCCGCTGGAGAATCCCTCCCTGAGCATGATTGCTCAGGCAGCCCCGTCGTATCTTGGCAAATTCCCAACGGCGACGTGCTCTGCCACACGTCACGTTTTGTCTCCCCGTGAGTAGGCAGAAAGCGGGCTGAGGATTGCCTTTTTGCTACACTGAATGTGTGTGGAGGCGTAGAAGGCAAGATGTTAGAAATATGTGAGATGATGAATACAAGAAAGATTGATTTGTTAGGGATGAGCGAGACGAAAAGAAAGGGTTGTATGACTACCACACATGGCCAATATATTGCTTACTGGTCTGGTGTTGCAAGTTCCCAGAGAGGCAGCCAGGGCGTGGGGGTCATACTATCTGAAAGGATGAATGAATGTGTGAAAGAGTATAAATGTGTGAGTCCCAGGATACTTTAGATCCGCCTTAAAATTGGCTTGACCAAATTATTTGTCGTCTGTGCTTATGCCCCGGACATCTCAAAGCCAATTGGGGTGAGGGAAGTATTCTGGGATAACTTGAGAGATGTTCTTAATGAATGTAAAGAGAATGAAAGAATAATTATGCTTGGAGATTTTAATGGATGGGTTGGAGTGGCACGCGATGGGTACGATAGAGTATTAGGGCGATTTGGAGACGAACGAGTGAACGAGAATGGTGTATGTCTTCTGGATATATGTGTAGAAAAGGAACTTTTTGTGACCAACACAACATTTGGTCACAAGAAGATACATATGTATACATGGCAGAGGCATACAGAAAGAAGTACGATTGATTTTGTGATTGTTGATGAACGCCTGAGGACAAAACTGAAGGATACAAGGGTTTACCGTGGCACGAATGTCGGAAGCGACCACTTCCTAGTAATTACTAGAATAGCTGGACTGGCAATGAAGTGGAGACATCGGCCACGGGTAAGGTTGCTTGGAACCGAGAGAGTGAGAGTTGAACGGTTGAGAGAAGAGGCAGCTAGGGACCAGTACAGGAAACTATTAAATGAAAGGTTTAGGGAGCTAATGAAAGGTTACGAAAGGAATATAGAAGAATTTTGGAAGGAATTTAAGGATGGAGTGATCGCAGTAGCTACTCAAGTATGTGGGGTAAGCAAGAAAAATAACACTGGAAGCAAGAGGAATGAATGGTGGGATGATGAAGTAAAAGAGGTGATAGAGCAAAAGAAGAAAGCATGGCTCGACTTATTAGCCTCAAAGGCAAATAGAAGAGTGCTAGAAAGTATGATAGAAAAGTACATTAGTCTCAAAAAGAGAGCAAAAGCGGTAGTTAACAAGAAGAAAAATGAATGCAAGGAAAAGTTTGAAAGGAATTTTTCGCGGAACTTTCGAGCCAACGCTAAACTATTCTGGCATTTAGTTAGAAAGGCCAGAGGCAAAGTGGGGGACTCGAAAGTAAGTACGATAAGGGATATAAATGAGTGTCATTGAAGAAAGTAAGGATGTTTTAAAGCAGTGGAAGGAATACTTCGAGAATTTATTTGAAAGGAGTGATTTGAAAGAAGAGGAAGTAAACGATGAAAATGAAAGTGCTAATGTGGGAGAAATAAATATGGATGAAATTGTGAGTGCCATTAAGAGTTTGAAAGTAGGTAAAGCAGCGGGATGTGATAGGATAACTACTGAAATGCTAACAGAGGGTGGAGGTGTAATTGCAAGCCTGGTGTATCTAATTTTTAATAAGTATTGGCGGTGCGGTCGTGTCCCTGGAGTCTGGGCCAAGGCCGTAATTGTGCCACTGTATAAAGGAAAAGGATCACAGCAGGAGTGCAAAAATTATCGCGGTATAAGCCTCCTAAGCGTAGTAGGAAAGTTGTATGCCAAGGTATTGATCGAAAGAGTGATGGATGTAACTGAGCGTAAAATCTGGGATGTGCAAGCGGGATTTCGAAAGGGAATGGGATCAAGAAATGTACGGATCAAGTCTTTTCGTTACGGTTCATTTCAGAGAAAGTGTTATCAAAGCACCAAAAGGTATTTTGTGCCTTTATAGACCTAGAAAAGGCTTATGACAGAGTGGTGAGGGATGAATTGTGGTCAACTCTGTCCATGTATGGGGTGGATAGCCACCTGATTCGGGTACTTAAATCCTTATATAAGGACTCGAGTGCCGTTGTCTGAATAAATGGGGACTACACAGAGTGGTTTAAAATTAATCGAGTTGTTAGGCAAGGCTGTGTAGCATCTCTTTGGCTGTTCAACCTATTTATGGACAGCTGTTTGAACGACCTGAAAGTAGGAGAGTCTGGATTAAGGATGAATGACACAGTGATTAAAACATTGTTGTATGCCGACGACCAGTGCTTGTTGCCTCGTCGGCCCAAGAATTACAACAAA